TGTGTGTGTGTGTGTGTTTGTCTCTCTGTGTCGGTGTGTGTGTGTCTCTCTGTGTGTCTGTGTGTGTGTGTCTCTTCCCCCCTGCGCTTTGTCGTTCACTCTCTCAACCGATCGCTATGATTGCCCAATGACAATGCACTAGTAGAGTTTCATCCGTTGAGATATGCGCTGCAAACTGACGAAGTCACACAAAGAATTCTGACGAAAACAACACGATGATATGTATATCTCTGTAGAGGAAGATGAACGTGTGCACGCTTGGGAGGCTCCTGATTACAGCAAACACACAGTGTCACACTCACCCAGCGTCGTTTGTGGGATGACGGGAAAAGTACTCCAACTGCCGCGATTTTTCCCGCTCCAAAGAACGCGTCTCAGAGTCTGCAACTTTAAGGTCCCGTAGGTTTGCTCGTGATCTTTCCAGGAAAAATAACACAAAAAATTGGAAAAATCGTTTTGACCATAAAACAATCACCGCGCCGATTCCTTGCATAATCCAGTTTTACCACAGCGTCGTATGTAGGTCAACGGGAAAAGTACTCCAACTGCCGCGATTTTTCCTTCTCCAAAGAATGAGTTTCAGAGTCTGCAATTTTAGGGTCCTATAGGATTGCTGGTGATCGCTTCAGGAAAAATAACACAAAAAATTGGAAAAATCGTTTTGACCATAAAACAATCACCATGCCGATTCCTTGCATAATCCAGTTTTACCACAGCGTCGTATGTAGGTCAACGGGAAAAGTACTCCCACTTCTGCGTCCCACGGCCGCTCCGTGCATTTCATTAACCATGTGTCCTGGATATCTCCCCTCTTCCGCGCATGATTGGAAGACTAATTAGTCGCCCTGTACGTCGATTAGGTAGGTGGTAAATATCCCCCTTCAGCACGCCTCTTCATGCATGATTGAGGTGCTTTTCCCCTCTGATCAGTGCTCTGCCGCGGTGCTCTCCAGGCACACCTCTCCTCTCTGGTACAAAACTTGTCTCCTGGTGTACACCGGGCACATTCTTTCCCCCGCGGTACAGAACCTGTCTCTCGCTGTGTGGTGTACGCCTTGGACAACTTCCACTCACCCTGTAAACCTTGCACAACTCCCCCTTGTCTTCTGTCCCTCTTCCCTATATGGTCCCCTGATCCAGCCCAGAGTGGACTCTGGCCCAGTCCCCACCCGTTTAAGGTCCCAGGCCCAGCGCCAGTGCAGCGGGACCCACATAGAACCCCAACAGCCTGGATTTACTAGTGGACCAGTTCAAGTGGCCCAACTTTTACTAGTGGCCCAACACTCTTTCTTTCACTGAAAATGATACAGTGGCGTGCACCATATTGATGCCGACCCAGGGAATCCATACCATCACCGAACCTGAAAAATAATACAG